GCATCCTCCTCAACCATTTCCCTCCTGTTTGGATGGGAATTGAGGGGTTTCTTCCCAACTTTTCCCTGCCCTGATCCCAGTTTGGATCCCTGTTAAACACCAGGGGCTGACAAGGAAAGAGCRCTGGGGGTGGCAGTGCAGGAAGCAGGACCTGAAAAGGGCACTAAAAGGACCTGAAAGGCCCTAAAAGAACCTTGAGACACCTTAAAAGTACCTAAAGAGGACCTTAAAAGGACCTTAAAAGGACCTAAAAAGGACCAAAAAGGATCTTAAAAGGACCTAAAGAGACTTAGAAAAGGACCTCAAAGGACTTAAAAAAGACCTCAAAGGACCTAAAAAAGACCTCAAAGGACCTGAAAAATGACCTTAAAAGGACCTTAAGAGACCTTAAAAGTACCTAAAAAGGACCTAAAAGGACCTAAAAAGGACCTAAAAGGACTTAAAAAAGGACCTTAAAAGRACCTAAACAAACTTAAAAAAGGACCATAAAAGTACCTAAACAAACTTAAAAAGGACCTTAAAAGTACCAAAAAGGACTTAAAAAGGGCTTAAAAGGACCTTCAAAAGGAGGAAAATATGACTGTGAGCATTGGGCAGCAGCTTTAGAACCAGACCTGAGCATGAGGAAACCCTTTGGGTGTCAAAGCTCACTCTGTCCTGCTGTCCCCGTCCCTGTTTCTGTCCTTGCCTGTCTCTGTGTGTGTTCCACCAGCTCCAGTCCCACATTCCGGGCTGGGAGAGAACCTGATATTTTCCTGCTGTTTTGTAAAAAAAAAAACAAACAAAAAAAAAAAAAAAAAACCTTGGGAAGTTTGGAAATAACTGCTGCGAAGTGCTCAAATGATAACGTTGCTCCACAATCTCTCTCTGCTGCTTCTCAGTAACCAATTTACCATGGGCTTAACCTTTTAGGGCTTCTCTTCCTCAGGAATTACTCTGGAGCTCCCACTGAAAAGAGGGGGAARAAAATCAGAGAAAATTGCTGTTGCCCTTCACAGAGGTGGCTGGCGTTTTCCAGGCGGTTTTGGGGAAATTTCTGGATTTTCAAAACGGGTTGAGCGTGCTGAAATCAGGATGCTTTTGATGACAGCTGAGCTGAAATCCCTCAATTTTTTGGGATGGAGAGAGCTGGGGAGCAGGAGGCAGAGCTGAGGGTGGGAGAATCCCAAGGAAGAAATCAACCCCAGGGAGCTGAGATGTCCCAGGGCTCCCCAGATTTTTTAAATTTTCGTGGCCCTGCCTCTGTATTTCCCGTCTGCRAGAGGGGAAGGTCCCTGCGGAGAGTGCTGAGACAAGCTGGAGGAAGGCTAAATGCAATCTAAAAATAGATTAATTGAAAAATTGTGAGCAAAAAGCTGCGTCTGCCTCGGACAAAACTCCTGGTGACTTCAAAGGCAGATTAAAGACTTTGCCTGTGTCAGGACTTGGGTCTTTGGCCCAAGAAGGAGACAAATGGAGCAGTGTGAGAATGTTTGCCAGCGAACTGGAGGGAGATAAGGGAACAGATGAAACACTCAAAGTCAGCATTTAAGGACATTGCTGCCTGTGGAGATAATTTTATCAACTCCAGAGACAACCCTTTTTTATTTTTTTCCTCTCTATAAAGYAAAATCTGCCCTTTACGAAGCTGTTTAAAGTCGTATTTGTTACAAATTTGATTAACTGGGCTGCAGGAGTCTGCKGTGGGATGAGCCAGTGCCAAAATCTGTGCTGATGATGAGTTTGTGGATTCCCYGCCTGCTGCCCTTCGTTTTGGGCATGTTTTGACTTTGGAACTTGGACCTCTGTGTGTTGGGATGGTGAAGACAAAAAGAATGATGCTCTTGGCTTGTGCTGAACCCTTTTTTTCCCGAAAGGGATGGAAGGAGGGGACTGGAATTGTGGTGAGGAATTGGTTTCCAGCCTGGTGAAGCCAGAGTGACTTTCTGCCTCCCAAACCCATCCCTCGAATCATGTTTTGCTATGATAATGTTTTGTCCCATCCTAAATGCAGAAATCAGTATTATATAATGAGTTGCAGGCTGCTTTGAGTGGGAAAAAAAATAAGGAAGGGGGGGTGTGGGTGAGAAGTCAGAGATGTGACTCAATATTGATTTCCACTTGTTTTTGTTGAAACACTAAAAAACGCCAAGATGAAATATTTGGAGTTTTCCTCGTGTTTCATTCCCTTTTTATTTTTAATTTAATTTTTTTTTTTTTTTTTTTTTTGCTAGAATCTCTCTGCCCAGTTTGATTCCAAACCCTGAATAATTTATAGTCTGTAAATAACTTCCTCCTCCTCGGGTAAATAGAGGCTTTGTGCTGTGGGATGGAGCAGAGGGGCTCACAGGTTTTGTTTCCCTGCAGAGTTATGTCATGCCCAGACCACCGCAGGGCTCCATGAGGATTTATGGAAGATGCTCCGTGTCTTGGCGCCTCTGGTGCTCCTTCTGCTGTGGCTGATGAGGATTTGGGCCAGCCCCCATTCCCTGAGGATTGGTGAGTGCACGCCTGGGGGAGTTCCTGGAGGGGGAAAATCCTCCCTGCCTCGGTGGGATGTTCCCAATCTGGTGGGGCTGACACGATGAGAAAAATGTTCTCTCCTTCCATTCGTAAATGAAATGCACTTTATGATAAATGGACACAGTTGCTGAGCTCCTCCCTGAATTTTGGGAATTTTCTCTCCTTCCTCTTGTAAATGAAATGC